ACAGAAAACGGTATACAACGATAACAATGAAGATTAGGAAATGATACGACTCACTTAGATCATTCACGATCCTTGCCAGCAATAGCCAAGAAGTTTACTTGCCAAAGGATGACTTCATGAAGACCAGGATCCAAGTTTATGGGTCGCATTCGCGAGATTTGAGAGAAATCTCGTTGATCAATTGTTGTAGGATTCTTCTGAGCCCGGAAATGATCACCAGAGAAAGGTGTCATTGAAGGGCGAAAGAAACAGCGGCAGGTGAGGAGAGAAATTGAGCTGTGGAGAGTTGTTAGCAAGAATTTGCTAGCGAAGAGCACGTGGTCAGACCGGAACGTGCTGTATTTCGAGTTTGAACAAAATTCGAAAATTGATAAATTTAAACAACGCACAAGTTGGGCCAAGAGCCCACACCTTAAAGATTTGCCGTATGGGTCGAGCTAGCGTCGAATAAGAAGCCTGACGACAAAATACAGTTAGTTATGTCCTTCAGTTATTCGGGCGTATAAGAAGGAATAAACTGCAGTTCGTGGAGGAATAGCAGTTCAGAATACTGAATGGATGGTGCAATCGGACAGTTTTTTCTAGTCTGCGTTCATTTCTTATGCGACCGGCATCGGTAGATAATTGTAAGCTGTTGCTTAAGCAATTTACCCATTCCAGCGTGCAGATTCAGCACCACTTCCCCAAGAAGAAACAGAGAAAAGCGGTCAGAAAAAAAAATACATCACACCTGAATTGGTTTTCGATCGAGTCGACACCAAACATTTGCTGAAGCTGTTGTTTGTGAAGAAAAGGAAGAAAGGAAGGAAGAAAAATTTTGCAGAATACTAATATATATGGGTAATAAACTGCATAGTAAAATAGCGCTAATGGGTGAGATTTCACGTTTTCTAACTGGTATGATGGACGAAGATGTAAAAAGACGTCGCGATGATTGTTGCGTCGAAAGTGGTCGCGTTGTTTCAAGGTAGTAAGGAAGTTAAGACCGTTAATATAAAGCACCCCTCGGTCGTTGTCAGTGCACCTAAAAACCAAGAAAACGCTCATAGCAAACTAATTCTCCACCTCACTTTAAAAGTATGAGCATTAAAAAATACATTTTCAGCTGCGATTCCACAAAAGATCGCAGCACTGCTCGTATATCAGATTGAAGTATTCAGAGCATGATGAATTGCAGGGTAAATCTTAGTGTCTTGCGCTTGCTTGCCCACCCACAGCTGTTCTCTGTGTTTTCTTCTTGTAACGGAATTTAATGTCTGGATTTGAAATTAAGCTTGGCGAAAAGCGTGTTCCTTTTATTGTTACTGCCATAAAGAACGATGGATATTTAGTTATTCTCTGAACACGATTTCAGGAAACAATAGTTTCAAATTCCTTATAAGCAAATTCATCAGAATTATAATAGGTTTGTACAAATTCATAGATTATGGAGCTTTTAACTTAGGTCAAATAAATGATTGTTTAAGACTTTGTCATATTTTTATCATTTAACTACCCCTCCAACTCCTTGTTTTAACCAATTTTGTAAATAAACCCAAGCCGCTGCTTTTAAACTACCCGATGTCGGCTTTCATACGCTTTTTCTCACGCAGATGGTTCACTCGAGGAAAATCCGAACAGGCCAACGTTCCCAATACCTACATCCGACGAAATAAAAACTCGGATTTGGAGTGTCGTGTTCATTTTCTGGATGGCACGAATCAGACGTTTTACCTTCCGGTAATTATATATTTTCCTGTTCATATTCATAATAGAAAAATGCCGTGGCGTCCAAGCTCTTCGAATTTGCCTTTGCTCATATCGGACTGAATGATGAGCGGGAATATTTTGCCTTGCAAATGATAAATAAGATTAAGGTAATGCGTTGCCCATCCCCTTGTAACAATGTATTTAGATATGGCTTGATCCTACCAAACCTCTTAAAAAGCAAGTTTTCGGTAAGCAGTCCCAAATTGGGAAATCAATTGTATAAAATTGAATACCAATTTTCTTATATTTTCCTTCTTTAACACTAATTTCCTTTCGTCTTTCGCAACTTAAACATTTTGTAATTGTCACTGACGTCCTGAAAAGTAACTTAAAAGAGTCACCTTGTCTTCAGTGTATCTTGGATTGGTTATTTTACTTTTAGATCTACTTTTTTCTGTATAGAAGGCTTGCTCAACTATATAAAGTTGTCCGTCTGTCAGTCAAAATTATATGAATGCGTTTGGTGCAAAAGTGTTATTTAGCGGCTGCTTGCATTTTTTCTGTTTCTTTCGACGATACCTTCAAAATTTTGTTGCGATCCATTGTTAGATTGTTTTTTAACTGCCCATAAAGGAGAAACAAACTTGAGCGAATTATGCAGCTCCAGTTATCATTCATATTTACGTATAAAGATTGATGATCCAAAGATATAAACCTAAAGTAAACTTTATGCGTATGTACAGTAATAGTTTAAGTTTACCTTCAAGAGTAAATCATACGGATTCCTGTTAACAACATGCACTTTTTCGAAACTTTTCTGGCTATTTGTTTGTGTTCTTCAGGCATTTACACATGTGCTTGTTGAGTTTATTTACTGCATTATATGCACTTGGATTCCCTTTTGGTCCCATAGGCTCTCCTCCTCACGTCTTTTATATGCGAGTCAAATTCTTCTCTATGAACCCACATCAGCTGCGTGACGATTACGCTAGGTACCTCTTTGTCCTCCAACTACGCGACGAGATGCTGACAGGAAAGCTTCAGTGCCCTGATGATCAGATCGCAGCTCAGATGGCAGCATTACTTCTTCAAGGTATGTTATTTCGTACTTTGTGGCTTTAAGACTACTTGCCTCATGATGGCAAGCAAAATGCGATAGGCTTTTTCTCTGCTTGCTCTTTCAGAATACTAGATGCGCTTAATGTTTATTGGAGCAACGTTTCTGATGTGTCCCGTTTTTTTAAGCTTGTTCTAGAAAACGAAAATTGAAATCAGCAGTCATACAGTACTGCTAGATTTCAATAATACTTTGGGTGGTAAATACTATTTGTTCTACTGTGTCAGCATTATATATAAGTTCTTTTTCAGGCTTAATGGCAGAGAAGCATAGTTGGCTTTCCATCATCGCTATTTTTATAAACTCTAGTTTATTCCTTTGTTGTGAATACTCAAGTAATGTTACCGCCGTCTTCGCTTTATATAGCGCCGACAGTTTCCCCTTGTCTCTCTTCTCTGTAAAAAAGGGTCGGCATTTGTATGTCATGTTCTTGCCTTGTTTTTAATTAAAAGGTGAGTTGGGCAACTTCAACAAAGATGAGCATACTCCGGAATTCATCTCAACCTTTCACTTTCTACCTGAGGAGCGACATACGGAAATGTTTGACATCGCTGTTCAACAGGAGTACGCGAACCTTGCGTAAGTTAACGTTTTAAGATGTGTGGATTAAGCAGTTTCTTTCATTGGATAGTACTTCAACTATACTATTGTATCTGCCCTTTTAGGCGGCGAAATCTAACACCTAGCGAGACCGATAGGTTGTATCTTGAAAAAGTTCGCTCTCTTCCAGACTACGGCGTAGATATGCACAAAGTTCAGGTACGGGGCTTTCTGGAATTATTTTATGCATGATTCTTGGGCACTCTTGGATGAATTAATTTTAGAGTTCCGTACCACTTTTGTTAAGTTTTCTTATTTTGTAGTATAACTATGTGTCATTAATTGTTTGTTAGGAAATATTTGTTTCGTTCGTCGCACATAAAAACAGCTGATGGGTATTGCAGTGCTTAAAAATTAAGCTGACTGTCCCAGCCGATAAGATTTCAATTAACCCCCCGCTTATTTACCACGTGTTTTTTTATTCTGAAACGTTTTTTTGGCCTTTGGTATCATTTCTTATATCACACATTTTTAGTTCTTTTCGGATATCAAGCAGTTTCCGAAACAAGCTATGCTCTACCGATATCCAAAATCTCCTGAGGTTGATTACAACTACAGCTCATTTTTACCTGTTTGACTTGTGTCCAAGTACACGTTGGTGCACCTGTGTGCTACGTACACACAGAAATCGGTATGAGAACACGTTTGTGCAAGCGTAGTTGCGGAATCTATATGCAAATTTGGGTGAGTAGCTGTTAAATTCGGCGGGCATGCCCAGTGCTGTTTACATTTGCGTATCTAGCGCAATGTTTTCGCTAAATGTAGGCAGCCTTCTTTGGTAACGGGGAGCATAGACGCCTTACTGCACCCTGAGGATTTTATTTTAGTCCGCATTGATTTGAAGACGGTTTGTTTGGTGATAAGGCACTGATCCTACTTTTAGCTAGCTTCACTAAAGCAGACAATACATGTCTGCAGAAGGTTTGAAGGGAGGATGGTTGCACCCATTAATTTTCGACTTGGTTACGGAACGTAGACACAACGGGACAAGTGAGTTCCGTAACTTCTATTTATCAACGCGTATGTTAGCGATCAAAACTGGCCGGATATGACCGGCTGATGACGACTAATAAGGCATAAATGGCCATTCCGGTCTCTTTTGTTTTTGTCGGTTCCTACAAGTCGCTATACGACTGCCTGTGACGGCTCTAAAGTGAGCTCCAGGATATAAAACTGTCCTTATCCATATCGGTTAGCCCCTGTCATCATATATATGCATGAGAAGGAAACGGCTTCTTTGAAAAACTTGAATCGTTAATGCGTTAATTTTCGAGGCTAGTCCCCCAGCTCGTCGTCAGGCTATGGGATATGTACAGGAACAATTAACTTAATTAACCGTCTCAAACAAATCTTACTACAATTAGCTGAAGTCTGC